CGTTTATGTTCCCATCTCGTGCGTTTTTTCAGCAAAAGGTGATCTAGGCTGCTCTTCGCCGAGAAATGGTGCACACCTCCGAGAGATGCCAAGTCCTCATGGAGGGCCACAGCAGCGCGGCCGAGCTGCTACCATCAGGAACACCACTCGAGGACCCCCAGGTCGCCAGACATCGCGCCATTGCGCTGCCCCCCGCGGCGCGATGGCGCGAAGCCAGGCGAATGAGGAAGAGGAGGTGGCGGATGAGGAAGAAGAGGTGGAAGATGAGGATGGGGAGGAGGAGAAGGAGGAGGAGGAAAAGGAGGAGGAGGAGGAGGAGACGGGGGGAGGAGATGGAGGAGGGGGAGGAGGGGGAGGAGGAGAGGGGAGGAGGAAGAGGAGGAGGAGGAGGAGGAGGAGGAGGAGGAGGAGGAGGAGGAGGAGAAGGAGGAGGAGGAGAAGGGCAGCCGCTCTGGCCTGGACCGGGGCGCGCGAAGCGCGGTGATCTCCGCGCCACCGTGGGCGACCAGGGGAGCGGTGGCCCTTCTCTGGACATGTCGCGAGGGCTCCCCGGCCACCACGGTGTCAATGTTGAGCTGCACTGTCAATGCCTCGCCCTCCTAGGGCTTTGCTGTGTTCCTGCACGTGAACGTTTGTCACGTGTGCGGAGCTGCACTGTTAATGCCACGCTTTCCTGTGGCTTTGCTGTGTTCCTGCTCGCAACAGACACCGCCAGTGGCGGCGGAGAGCTTGAGAGATCCACCTGTCAGAAGTGCCCCTCCCCCCAAAAAAACGCCAGGGTGCACGAGGAACGCCACAAGCATGACCGTGTGAGAGAAACCAAGGAGCAGCGAGCCCCCTCCGAACCCGAACTGCTCCTCACTTCGGCGCCTTGGCTGTCTGTGGCTGGCCGTTTCTGCTCGCCTGGCCCACTACTGCTGCTGGCGGCGCGCACAGAAGGGGGTAGGGGGAGGGGGGAAGTTTCTTAAATGCACCCCTGCTTCTAAGATTCTGTACCTCCTGCACTTCTCGGGGATCCACTGACCCGGGTCGTCAATCGAAACCGGGGTCAGCCAGGCCTTGCAGGATCCTGCAGGATCCTGCAGGATCCTGCGCCCAAGCCCAGGTCTCAATGCACCCCCTGGCTCTGCAGGATCCCGCAGTCTCTGGCGCTCTGGCCGACCCCCGTTTGCATGGACCCCGTCTCAAGGCTCCCGATCTGAATGGCAACGATAGGGTTGTGGATACCACGACAATGGACACCCTAACGGTCCGATCATCGAATTAAACACGCTTACACTGTAGGAAAATGTCCTAAACATGCGGCAAAGATGTGTTCTTTACATGTTGAAAAGCTGTTTAACACATGTTTTAGACATCTGGGAATTATTTGGCAGCATGCTCCCTCTCCATTGATCGTCCTCCACAACGATAGGGGGGGACTGGCATGGGGTGGATGCACCGACCTGGAATCGGCGATACATCGCCGATCGATCGGCGACAGGCCCCCGACAGTGCTTCCGCCCCTTCCTGTGCAGGCTGGGGCTCTCGGGCCCCCCTCGGCGATCCATGGGCGACTGGGGGTCCGTGCGTCCCCCCCCCCCTCTGCCTATCCCCCCCGATCGCCGCCCCCGACGAGCTTCCTCGCCGCACCGGCGCCCGGTGCCCGAGGTCCGTTTCCGCCCGCACTGCTTCCGGGGAGCGTCTGGAGCCAGAGATGCATCAAGGAAAAGTCAGCCAGTTCGATTGGGCGACACATGCGTGTGAACAGGTGCCACCAGTAGCCACGACGGCTCGGAATGGGCTGTCAGAGAGGCCCCGTCGACCTCTCGACGGTCGGGGCTTTCCTCCTCCTCCCGCCCCCCCTGCGGCCGCCCCCTGCCTCTCCGCGGCCCGCGCTTCGCCCCGCGCCCGGGTGCGCCCATCGCCGGTGCCGACCCAGGCGCCCGTGTCCGCCAGCGCTGCCGATAAAACAAGTATAGTGGATGCCACGACAATGGACACCCTAACGATCCTACCATTGAATTTTAAAAGTGTATTTAATATGTGGGAGGATGTTCTAAACATGTTTTAAATATGTGCTTTACATGCTTGAAACATGTTTAACACATGTTATAGACATCTGGAAATTATTTGGCAACATGCTTCCTCTCCGTTGATCGTCCTCCACAGAGCAAGTACAGGAGGGGAGGCCAGTCCACAAGATACCTTCTACAAGAAACCCAACCCTGAGGCCCCAGGACGCCCATGGAGACAATTTCGGTGTGGGAGCGTCACGCTCTCCATGGCAGGACCATCGAAACCCAAGAACCACAGGGCACCCCTGAGGCAAGCAGGGTGTCTCGTGGCATGGGCCTCCACTCGCTGAAGCGCGCGTGCGCCGCAGCGACAAGGCAGCCACCGACCCTGCACCCGCTCACGAGGGAGCGGCGTGCGAACGGGAGGCTGTGCCGCAGCATCGCCGACGTACAGCCGACCCGCATCATAAGGATGCGCGGTGAGGATGCAAGGGCCTTGGAAGGCTATTTCTCGAGGCTTTTCGAGCGGGGCGCGGCCGGCGAAAGTGGCCAAGGGTGGGCCGAGGAGGCAGGGCTGCAAGAGGACATCCCTGGGAAGGCTGCCCGTCCTTCTGATGCGGGTCGACTGTACGGCAGGTCCGTGCCGTGCCGACCCCGCCGCTGGTTCCCGACATCGCGGGGATCGTTCAACCTTGAATGATCGGCCGTTCCCGAAATGTCAGGATCATTCAACATCGCCCGATTCTGGGTCGCCGGCGACGTTCAACCTTGAACACCCGCGGCGGGGTCGCCGCGGGTCGACACGACGCGAACCGACCGTATGCGGCTGGCCCGCCTCACCGTGGAAGCGCGGGCGCGCCGCAGCGACGAGGGAGCCACTGCCTGCAGCCGCCCACGAGGCGAGGCGCTCGAGCGGGAGGGTGTAATGCAGCATCGCTGGCGTGAGCTGGCCTACTCTGGTCCTCCTCCTCCCTCCTCCTCCCTCCTCCTCCTCCTCCTCCTCCTCCTCCTCCTCCTCCTCCTCCTCCTCCTCCTCCTCTTCCTCGTCCTCCTCCTCCTCCTCCTCCTCCTTCTACAATTACTCAATCTGAATACTACTCTCCCTCTTCCCCTGATGACGGCCTGGGAGTGTCCGACCCCCCCCCGCGTACTGTTGTTTTACACACAAGTTTCCCCGGAGTTGGGTTTTCGCCTGCATTTGTTTCCAAAATGCTGCTCTCGCTGAGGCGCCGGCCTCATTTTCGGGCCCCGCTCGTTCCGAATCGTGCTCCCGCTGCAGCGCTGGCCTCATTTCCGCGCTTCCGCTCGTTCCGAATCGTGCTCCCGCTGCAGCGCTGGCGTCATTACCCGTGCCATGCCACGGCATGCACTGCAATGCTAGGTTGATACTACGCGTTGCGGTGCTCTTCTACGCCATGCCGTGCCGTGCTCTACAATGCATCGCGTACTCTTTCGGGATCATTGCCCTGCTCGACATTCGACTGTGCGAGTAGAGAGGGGATCTGCGCCATGGTAAGGGATGGGAGGGAGGGGTAGGATGTCAGATATGATGCGAGCGCACCTAGCTTGCCTCCTCCCCCCCTCCTCCTCCTCCCCCTCCTCCTCCTCTCTCCCTCCTTCTCCTCCTCCTCCTCCTCATCCTCCTCCTCCTCCGCCTCCTCCTCCTCCTCCTCCCCTCCCCCTCCTCCTCTTCACCTCCCTCCGCCTCTGCCTCCAGAGGAAGAGCAAGGCAGCATAAGCGTGAGCTTTCGGAGCTCCGCGCGGCTGCCGTGGATCGGCGCTGCACCTCCCGCCCGCCGCCTGGCACGCGGAGCGCGCCGGGGGGGCGGCTCCAGAGGCGCCGCCAGGAGGTGCCATTGTCGATCAAAGGAACCCGCGTGGATTTACAACGATTTGTGTTGACAGTCTGTTTCTTTTTCGACGGAGAGGATGCGCCAAGGCAGGGGGCGGGTATCAGGTCGGGCATGTCCTCCTACAGGCGGATTTTGGAGGAAAGCTCAAAAATTGCCAAAAACAAGAATCAAGCATAGTCAAAAACTACTCGGAAAATCGTCCCCAGACTATTTTCTGACTATTGTTGAATATTCCTCCTGTGCAGGGACATGCCCGACTTAAGACTGGTCGCTCACCCCCTCCCGAGACGAAGGCAAGGTGAGGACAGGCTCGGGTGAGCACCTCCAACAGTCTATGATTTTGCCTGCTTTTCTGCCTCGACTCTCCGCCTCCTCCCCCCCTGCTTCCTTCTCCTCCCCCTCCTCCCCCTGCTTGAGGGGAGCGATAAAAAGGGGGAACTGGATCAGGGGGGGAACATCGACCTGCAGTGGGACTTGATTGGAAAGGACACGCGAGAGGAGGGGCCACACTGCCACCGGAATGTAAGAAGGCATGGGTCGCGAAGCACAGGACACAAGGGTACCCCTGATTTGGCAGGGTTGACCTTCCAAACAAGCTCGACTGCAGAGCCGGCGCCACCTCGCCGATGTGTCAGTGACCGGGCCCCCCTCTGTAGCAGCACCGGACGCCGCTGGGTGGGGATGGGCTGTCGGGCCCCGATCGGCGGTGAATGGGCGATGAAGGGCCGATGCGTTCACACCCCTGAGCCCGTCCCCCCTCAACGCTACATCGGGCCTGTCCCTCTACAGGAAGAATACTCAAGAATTGTAAAAAATACTCAGGGGACGATGTTCTTATTATATTTGACTATTTGGGGCTATTTGTTGACTAAGTATTTGTTGTTCTTCCTCCAAAATCCGCCTGTAGGAGGGGATGTTCGACCTAAGCCTAATGCTACCCCTGATGATCTTCGGGCCGTGACTCGGGCCTCCGGCGGCCGTTCGGGACGAGCCAGGCACCCCTCTCGACGCGGCGCAGCTGCTAGAGAGCATCCCGAGGCCAGAAAACCCCTCTGGGAACCGACGAAAACGCTCGAAAACCTGGAACTCCGAACTTCGAAGCAGCCCATCCACCCCTAACGTTGCCCCTGACGGTTGAGGGGAGCCCAGCCTCCCGGACAAGCGTTCAAGGACGCCGCGAGCGTGAAGTGTGCGGAGGCGGCGCCGAAGGGACATCGCGTCGAGCTCTGCAGGTGGCGCAGCGACCGGGTCGCGGGCAGCTCCTGGTGCCCGGAGAGCGCGCTGGTGAGGGCGTCGAGGAAGTCGCCAGTGTCTTCTGTTGGGCGCACGTGACACGAGCGACGGAACACAACGGGCCTTACGCGAGATGGCGTAATCTTGCGCGGTGGTTCACGCAAGCCGCCAACGCGGCACACTGCCTGGCGAACGAGGGCGCGCACGCCGGGACCTCATGCGGGAGGCTTGCGCGCAAATGTCGGCGCAATCGAACCCTTTTCTCTGCGTCCCACATGGATTGCGCATCCGTGGATCTGGCACGTGGGCCAAGATCGATGGATCGGGCTGATTTGATGATGGATCGCGCCGACTCAGCACAGAGACGGAACCAATTGCTAATCCACACGACTTTGCGCTTCCTTGATTCTGGCAGCACGAATCGTTGAGCAGGGACCGACCGTCCTGGCATTCCTATGGGCCTACCACGAAATCTTCTCATCACATTCGAATGTTCTAATCACAACAGCACAGTTCTTCCCACATAAATCCGACGCGTTGAAACAGGACGGCCTCAACCAGAAATGCTCTGAGAGAATGTCGCGCTCACCACAGAAAGGTTCTCATAATATTCTCTGATGGGCGTTTAGGCAATCCAAGACGCTTCGCCAATGCTTGAATAATGGTACACCAATCGAAGGACCCGCTCCATCACCAAGCTTGAGTGGGCACGAGGCCTTTTGACGGTCCCAGGACCCTTTGAGGGCCCCAGAGGCTGAAAACAGCAGAAAACGAACCGCTCCAAATGTTTCGGAGCCTCGGGCCTTTGGGAACCCTAGCGAAACTGAATGATGTTGGCCTCACTAGAAGCCTCCTAGATGGGGTCACAATAGATGGTGTCGGAGGATCTCGCCGCATCGCTGATACGTCGGCGATGCATCGCGAATGCATCGGCGATGCATCGGCCATGCACTGGCGACGTCGGCGATGCATCGGCCATCGGCGACGTCGGCGTGGAGAAAATTGAATCCCACATCGAGCCGCATCGTCGATGCATCGGCGATGCATCGCCGATGCATCGGCGATGCGGTGCGATCCTCCGACCCCATCTATTCCGGCCCCATCTAGGAGGCCTACACTTAAGTCGCGCATGTCCTCCTACTGGCGGATTTGAGGCGAGAAATCAAACATACTCAACACAAATTCAAGAATCCGCCGACCCTATCGGCGTGTGCAATGGGCTTCTCCGTTCGAGTTCTCGTCTCCGTCGTCTCCTCGTCGTCTTCGTCGTCGTTACAGTCGTCTCCACGCCGTATCCGTCGTCCCCCGTCCCTTTCCCTGGGCCCTCCTCAAGCGTGCCATCCGAAGCGAAATTGTACAACGTCGTATCGGAGTCGAAGGGAAGCCCTTTCCCTTTGATCCCTTCCCCATGGGAGGGGGGTCCCGGGGCGGGGTCGCCACGCAGATTCGTTTTCCCCCGGGCGGCCCCGACATATCGAACAGCCCCAAAAAGAACCCAGAATGCCGAAAATGGCTCCCAAGATTGCCCACAAGAGCCCTGTGTCGCTCAAAGATCGGCCCAATACAGCCAAGATGGCCCCAAGACGATCCAAGACGCTTCCTAGACGTCCCAGGAGCTCTTCAAGAACACCCACACCAAGGCTCCAAGAGGCTCCTCCCCTCCTCCTCCTCTCCCTCCTCCTCCTCCTCCTCCTCCTCCTCTCCTCCTCCTCCTCCTCCTCCTCCTCTCCTCATCTGTCCCCCTCCTCTTCCTCCTCCTGCTCTTCTACTCCTCCTCTCCTCCTCCTCATCCTCTCCTCCTCCTCGCCTTCCTTCCTCTTTTCCCTCCTCCTCATTCCCTTCTTCTCCTTTTCCTCCTAATGTTTGTCCGTCCTCTTCTTCCTGACTATCCTCCTACTCCTCTCCTCCTCCTCCTCCTCCTCCTCCTCCTCCTCTCCTGACCTCCCTCTTCTTGCTATTCCTCGTCCTTCTCGTCAGCATCCTTCTTTTCCTCCTCCTCCTCCTCCTCTTCTTCTTTTTTCCCTCATCTTTCTCCTCCTCCTACCCCTCCTCCTCTTCCTTCTCCTTATCATCCTCATCCCTCTCTAAGGCAGGATAAGCCGCAGCGAAAGGAGACAACAGACGAGAAGAAATCGACAGACGCACCCCTTCCTCCTCGTCCTGCCACTCCTCCTCCTCCTCCTCCTCCATGCACCCCCCCCTCCTTTTCATCTTCGTCGTCTTCAGGGTCGGCGGCACCGGCCGTAAGTCAGTCCTTCGCAATAGTGGCAAAAAATCGAAAAATCGTCCCCTGACTATTTTGGGAGTATTTCCGAATATTCCTTCTGTAGAGGGACATGGCCGACTTACGCTTAGACCCACGGGCTTTTCCCACGACAGGAGCGGGAAGGGCACGGGAGGCGGAGGAGGAGGAGGAGGCGGAGGAGGAGGAGGAGGAGGAGGAGGAGGAGGAGGAGGAGGAGAAGGAGGAGGAGGAGGAGGGGGAGGGGAAGGAGGACTCCGCAGGCCAATGCGGACTGCGCCCTCCATGGGCTTTTCCCACCGCAGCCCGGAGAGGCGTTTGGGGGGCCTGGGTGGCTGCTTTTCGGGCCGCCCGCGCCTCCCGCGGCCTCGAGCAGCGCGTCGCACGGGTTCCGGAGCGGGAAGCTCACCCGCCGGGTCTCCTCCCGGCAGCCCCAGGGCCAGGGGCCTCCCAGATGAGGTCGCGGGAGTGACATAAACATAAAAACTCGGAGGTCCGCGCAGATTTCTCAGATCCGCGCTGGACTCCCCTCCCTGGCGCGGGGAGTGGCATAGACATAAAAACTCGGAGGTCCGCGCGGATTTCTCAGATCCGCGCTGGACCCCCCTGGCGGCGCCTCCAGCGCCGCCCCCGGCGCGCTCCGCGCGCCAGGGAGGGGAGTCCAGCGCCGATCCAAGAAATCCGCGCGGACCTCAGAGTTTGTACCCCTAGTAGATGGGGTCGGAGGATCGCGCAGGATCGCCGATACATCGGGGATGCATCGCCGATGCGTCGTCGGTGCATCGGCGGCGACACCAGCTCGGAGGACATCGGGCTCCACAGCGAGCCGCACCGCCGATGCATCGGCGATGCGGCGCGATCCTCCGCCCCAATCTACTCGGACCCCATCTAGGATGCCTAGAAGGGAAAAGGCAGCCATGGATCCCAAAAGTGGATGCGTGAAGCCCTGGCGTCTTAATGGAGAGGCGGAGGAGCAGGAGGAGGAGGAGGAGGAGGAGGAGGAGGAGGA